GCTTTGTAAATGCAACTATTATCAATACTGTTTGAGGGTAATGTTACAAACACTGTGTTATCACCACTGTGGGATCATAGCGTGAGTGTGTTTAAGTGGCTGAAAATATTAAAAGTATGGAAATTTACCTCCTTAGACATGTGGTGCTCATGAGGCTTTTTAAACTAACTACATTAAAACACTGTGAGCATGAGAATCACTGGAATCAGAATATCATATAGTTCATAACAGTTTTTTTTCATGATTCTCTGGTGAACATATTGTAAAATATATTAATCTCTCAGTCACATGTGCTCAGAGTCTGCTTCTAATGTACCACAATAAACTTCAAGCTAGCTTTAACTTATGTCTTATAAATCTTACAAAAACTGTCCAGTGGATAGTTTTGGGACAGAATCCAGTCCAACAGCCATGCCTGACCAAATGTGTATGAATCTGGTAAAAACACACATTTTGGAGCCACAGGTCTGACTAAACTAAATTGGCTCAAAATAGTTTGAAACGTGATGAGAAACGCCTGCGTTACTAATGCAGCATGAAGACTTTTCACAGACAACAAACACGCTCCATCTGCTGCACTTCAAAAAAACACAGATCTATATCTGCTGCATCAGCTTGAACCAAGCGTGTCGCTGCCTGCGCACACACACACACACACACACACACACACACACACACACACACACACACACACAGACACACACACGCACGCTAACACACACACACACACCATGAGGTGTTCAGCTCTGTGCTGTGTTTGGCTACAGCGGGTACCATATTTAATACAAATAACAGGAGGGGACTTGCACACACGCACACACACACACACACACACACACACACACACACACACGCGCACACAAACACAAACACACACACACAGTGGGAGAGACACTTTTCCTCTCCTGGTGGAGGTCATCATGAGTTCCTCTCTTGTTGGCAGGAAGTGTTTTTATGAAACAGAGGGAGCACTGCTGGTCACTACAAGCTGTAACCACGGGAACGGGATAGTCATGGACCTCAGATGGACACACACACACACACACATGCGCGCACAGTACTGACCAGAGCTCAGCATGGACAGAAGGTTTGATATAGAGCTCATTCAACAGTCACTAATGTGGTGTAGGAGAGTCACGACACAGACCCACACACGCACACACATACATACATACATACACACACACGATTTTCACTTAGATGGACTGATTTTTTGAGGGGTAATGTGACAAAAATCACTAAATGTTTAAGTGGAATCGGTGACTTGATTAAGGAGCAGGGAAAAGCTTGAACATTGACGCTACAGGACAGTCAGCTCTTACTGAGGCCTGCTGGACCTCCTCTGAAACCTACTGTATGTTGTCACTGTGAGAATCCCAATACAACACATACAACGCCAAGACAGAGCTGGAGCAAGCCAAAGCAACAGACCTTCAAACCATTTCAATCTTTTTACTCAAGTATCGGCAGCATTCAAAAGGACAGCATTTAGGAAAAAATGTTGTGTATAACTGAAACGTAGGCTTGAGAGGAGAAACATCTAAATATGGGGAGCCCTACTGGCTTAGGGGATTAAGGCGATGATCAAGAACCACAACATTTTCTGTCATCTCTCTACAAACAACTCTCTATTAAAGGCATAAAATTCCTGACAAATACTTGTAACTGCTGTGAATCCAAGATTAATTCAGCTGCCAGACTCCACGAAGGAGCAGGCCACAAACATTTCAGAGCCATTTCTCAAGCTACAGGTGGTGAGCATTTGATTCTTAAGAGATAGATTTTTATTGTAGTATCCCTTTAAAGCGCTCAGGGCGCTGTCCATGGTGCTGATCCTCCTCAGCACTTAAGAGCAGACACAAGCAAACTCCTATGAGATGCACCAGTTTTCTTACTGGTGTTATGATATAATATAATGTAATAACTGGCCTGACTAAAGACTAAAAGGCTTAATGACATCCTGAGTCTCTGCACTCATCAATGTTTATACATAGACCAAAGATTAAAGTGTGACACAACTTTTTCAACTTTTTTAATGACACTGAAGCTGTTTTGTGGTTAAGAAATTCTATTTAAAGAGATAATTAAAAAAAACTGATTCATGCGACAATTATTGCGGAGGGAACTTCATGTCTACCAATTACTGCTACCAGAGATACATTGTTATATTTCTAAGGGGAAGGCTGTTTTAATTTTTGTTCTTTTTACAGGAAAAAAATCTATGCAAAAAAACAAACAAACAGCAAAAAGCTTTGAAAACACAGTTATTTAATCACCAACGGAGCAGCAAAGTGATCTTTTATTGTTGTTGGAATGTCGCAGATTATTACTGTAAACTATTGTAAATGCATGGATTTACAAACACAAACATTTGATTTTGGCCACAGTCATGTCTGTCTGATCTGAGCACCACAAGCCTGGCATTTCCTTCTTTTTAACAGTATCAATTTAACCTCTGCTCCATCATGTACAGGAAAAAACTTAATTCTGGATCTTTATTTAAACACACTTTCTCTCCTAAAATTAGAATTCATAATCCATATATCATGTTTGTACTACCTTTAGAATTCATAAGCCATACATCATGATTTTCAGCATGATGCATGGATTATATCCACATGCTACTTCCATAAGATTCCATCACATTTGCATACTGTAGCTGCTGTGAAACTTCATTATATTCTAACTGTGCCTTCCACATGTATTTTGCTCTTTTCGATATGAGCTATCCACTTGCCATGCACACTATATGATGGGATATCTGGACGGGGAGGTTCTTCCTCCAAATGCATTTTTCTAAAAGCCAACACCTGTGCATCATTTCTAGGTGACATTCTGGCTCAAACTACTTCAGCGTCCTCCAGCTGTTCTACCCTGCTCAATTCTGCTCTGTGTTTTTGCTGAAACTCGCAACCAGCGCATCTTTTCAGCTGCCTGCTCTGATTTCAATTGTAGTGTGACTCAAGCACCTGCTGTCTTTCATGCTTTCAAAACCTTTTCATAACAAGGTCATTACACATAAAACCAGAAAGCCGTTTTGCCAAGTGTTTACCAATTGACCTTTGTCACCTCAGCATTCTGACCTCCCTCTCCTCTTCTCACTGACACATACGACCTTGTCTTAACCTGACTTAATGATACCTGGACTATACTGGATACCTTTTCATGCCCTCAACAGTAGCAGTTCAAGATTTGTTAAAAACCAAAAGTCAAACTACGCTACCCAGAATGGAAGATTTTAAATGCCCAAATCAAAACTATGGTTCATCTTGTGACGGGACCACACTAGCCACAACTGTCAATTGCTTACATTCTAATCCATGAGTACTCAGTAGTTATTACTACATTATTAATTAAATGAGTAGTCAGTACTCATGGGTCGGACCACACCTATCACTGATCTCAGCCTTCCTTTTGATATTAACTACACTCTTAAGTTTTGTGACTGAAATACACACTGTTATATGTATTTCTGTTTCATGTGTGGACTTACTGTGCTACACAAACACACACACACACACACACACACACACACACACACATTTGCATAATGCATTACCATTTCAAAAAAGACAGAAAAAGCTCCCTTGCATCCCCTCATTAAAACTAATGACAGTATACAGTGTGAATGTGCGTGTAAATGGTTGTTTGTCTCTATATGTCAGCCCTGTGATTGCCTGGTGATCAGTCCAGGGTGATCCCTGCCTCTTGCCCAGTGTCAGCTGGGATTGGCTCCAGCCCCAGTGGTATAGCTATTGAATGGACATACACTTTTTCACTTTGTTTTCTGAATTGTAATATGTATTGTATTTCACTTTATTTGTTTGTCTGATTTGTTTTCATTGAAGCATTTTAAATCTTCCATCACCCAGAACTAAATGTATTAATCAACATCTAATTACATAGATAGGATCATTTCCAAGGGCTAGGGTTAGGGTTTTAAATTACATAAATTACATTTTGTGAGTTTCTTACTTAAAGGACGTGAGCCAGTGTATCATGCTGTACACTAGTCTGGCCTTGAATAACACTGTTCTAGACCACCTCTCTGACTGAATAATACATGATGTGACCAGAAAGACTCACACACACGACTTCCTCCAGCAGACATATTTCTGAAGCAAGTGAGTGAGTGTGTGTGTGGGTTGGTGTACGTGCTATACACAGGTCCCACACCATGACAGCAACCCATTAGCCGAGCCAATCGGCAGTTATAACCTGGTTTCCTAGGTTACGGCCTTCTCAGTCACTCCCAGTAGACACACATCCAGGGTGGTGCTTGCTGGGAAACCTCACTCTCCCTCTCAGTGTGTGTCCGTGTGTAGTATGTATGTCCATCTTTGTGAGGACCGATTCGAGTTTTAGATATAGGGAGTGAGGACATTTTGGCTGGTCCTCACTTTGGGCTGGACCCGGATTTGGTTTAAGACCTGGTTTGAACGTAACGCTCACGGTATGCATTATGTCGATGAGAGTCCTCACAAGTATAATAGTACAAACATATCTATGCCTGTATGTGTCTGTATGTGTCTTGCTATGTAGTGAATTTCTAAATGTATGTTTCCATCAATTACAACAATGCAAATATTCTGACTGGACTACATACTACATATGTAGAGTACCACCAGCTCTTAAAAGAAAGCTGGTAATGCAGGCACATCATCACAGCTTCCCATCTAAAATTCCCATTTATGTTGATTTTATCATTTTCTTTGCCTATAAATAGCACATTTTGTTTTTAGCTGCTACCTTTTCATGATCTTTTGGGGCTTTCCCACAGGTTGTACTATAGGTGGCAACGACACACAGATGACTGTGTACACTGCCAGAAATTACAATTTGTCTAATTTTCTCTTTATCGATGCACCAGCTTCCCCACCCAGCAAAGCAGAAGAAAAAACATATATATTGGTATAATCAGCATATGTTTACCACTTTCAAGCCATTCCTTTCAGATTTGTTGTGGTCAGAATTGTACTGTATCTATCTGCAGTACTCACCCTCCGGTCTGTACTGTGCTACTATGGTAACGGTCTGTCCTGCATTCTTCAGAGCTGCAGCTGCCTGCTCGTGTGTCGCACTGGACAGGTCCACACCGTTCACCTACACATAGACATGGACAAAGAAAATTAAGAGTCCACACTGGATCAATAGTAATAAATGTATAGTGAGTGAGCACAACATTAAGAACACTGTGTGTGGGTCAGTGACTCACAGGTGACCAGTCCCTTGTGTCTATGCTTGTGCAGTATGTGTGCACTTTGTTAAGGCTTGTTTTCGTGGATGAAATCTTTCCATGTCAGTACCTCCTTGCATACATGAATACATAATACAGTCACAGTCAGTCTGCAGGTACTGTCTGTGTCTCTACAGTCAAGGGAATTAATCCTGTTTGAGTCCTGTCTGGAGAAAATTAAAGCCATATTTCAAACTAGTGGGACACAAAATACGGCTTTAAAACACACATTTCCCATATTAGTGGTGACTGACTCACAGGTGACTCATAGGTTATGGGAAATGATGCCAGTTTCCTCTTAAAATTTAGACTGTAGATTAGACCCTGTGAATGAATTCACAGCTTCAGCAAAAATTTCTGTTAATGTCAGTTGTATGGCTCTACATCAATAATGTACAGACACAGATGTACAACATCATCTAACAGAATGACTCCCTAGATAACGCTGTGTAATCTATACAGCAATAACTGCAGAATTTGAGATATGAATCATAGTAACGGTGACAGTAGTTGTGTTATATACATATATATATATATATATATATATATATATATATATATATATATATATATATATATATATATATATATATATATATATATATATATATATATATATATATATATATGTGTGTGTGTGTGTGTGTGTGTGTGTGTTGCATGTATTAGGTGTTAGCTCTTACCGACAGGATGCGGTCTCCCTTTCGTAGCTCCCCACAGAGATCAGCTGGACCTCCAGCCAGAATGAAGGAGATGAAGATTCCCTCTCCATCCTCTCCTCCAACAATGTTAAAACCGAGACCTGTGGACCCCCGCTGCAGCACCACCCGCCTGGGTTCTCTGGAAGAAATACAAATCAAACACATACACTGTATTGCAATAAAAGGAGATTAGGCAACTTAATGTATGACGCCATCAGTCAGTTATGACTCAGATAGTAACTGTTGCTTTATTGCTGCTTAAAGTTCACATCTAGCTGACAGATGGAAATAAAACCTGCTTAACCACTGTCTAAGGCCTGGTTATAAGGAGCAGTGAGAGACGGCAAGAAGAAGACCAGATAAGAAATGATATAATTTAAAACTTTATTCTTATAAAACAAACAGTTACTGTAGTGCATGTATCTAAATATTTTCTGTGAGAGAAGCCTACAGAGTGATGATAAATGGCACATCTCAGTGGGAGAAAAGGAAATTTAATAGTAGAATCATTCACTGTGTTGACCAGCAGATGTCAGTATTGCACTGTGTCTGTTTTGTTGTTCAACCAGTTAGTACCTCTGTCCTAAACACACAGTGCTGAGGTTATGCTTGTAAATGCTTTGATACTTTAGTGAATCAACAGCTAACTTGAAAGTCTTTCGACAGAAGGAGGAAACATGTTCAGAAACAGGAAATCCAAGTCAACAAAGGCCAGACATGTAAACACATGTTAAAGACAGAACTGAAAACTGATTCTTCCAGCAGTGGGGGGACCACTGGACCTGCATGTCATTCTTCATTTTGGATGAAAGCAATCATGATAAGTGCAGAAATGATTCCAGTTGTAATGATTTGTTAGTGAGTTATCAGGCTATCTATTAATAAACTTACATTAGTTGGATGTGATCTCCATGTTGCAGAATGAGCGTTTCAGTTTTTTTAACTGTTTAATAATCCTTTGTTAGCCTCTCTTCTAACGAGAGATGTAATCTGATCCACTGCATCAGTATCAGGAGCCAATACTGAACTTATCAAACAGATTCTGTATCAGACAGATGTGACAGATCCACATTGAATACAGTTTCATATAAACTCTGTGTTTCTACTACTAGATACATTCAGTAAGGCAGGCTGATGTTTACCTCAAGTTACAAAACAATTCTGTGTGTGAGTTCCATGCAGTGAGGTCAACAGATGTTAAATTTGAGAAAAACAGCACACTGGTGTTGGGTTGGTAATCGGTTTTGGCAGAAACCCTGAGTTAAGGTTTTGGGATTGGTGCCGAAAGAGGGAAAATTAAGCAGCGCGTCCCTCGTTCTAAAGCATGAATTAATGAGAAGAAAGTGAGAAGAAACAGAAGAAAGCAGATGTTCTTAAAAAATGTGATCATTCAGTGGAGATTCTTTAAAACCCATAATCCTCTATTTGCATGACAAACTAATCAGAGAGTGAGAGAGAATGACGTGATTCAGAGGGTGAGGGACAGATAAAAACAGAGAACAAAAAGAACTGGAGAAAAGAGAGAGGCAGACGTCAAAATGACCATTCTGCAGTCAGTCTGAGGCTTATCAGATTTATTATAATCAAAGCGCATTGATTGGCCCAAAGGTTTATGACGAATTTCTGGTAACCACGGTGATGCCAGCTGAGTGACGAGGGCCGTGATAGGCTGTAATCCCTCCATTAAAATGGATTAAAGACAGTAGAGCAGCACTGAGAATCTGCATGCGTGTCTGTGCATGTGTGTACATATGTGACCCGAGTCCTGAGAAAAAATTCGCACTGCCATCTGCCTTTTACTGCCAGACACACACAGTCGCGCACACACGCAGCAGAAGCAGAGTGAGCAGGGAAGGACAGAGGTCAGTCAGTGTATTTTCAGCTCTCAAGGACTCTGTTTCCCAATCCGATGTCGTGGACCTCTTTTAGAGCCACTAAATACCTCGGAGGGGGACATTAAATCAGCCAGGAAGTAAAGAGAACGTAGAAGGAGAGAAGCCTGACCTGTGACCCTGCAAACAGCTGCATTCACAATAATTTTTAGAAACTACTACAGCAAACAAGAAGCTGCTGAATCTAACAGAATTTCCTCTGTTGCTACAGAATTTTGAATTTTCTTTCGTTGACAAACTTTGCAATAGGAAGTGAATGACATACATGATATTTTTAAACAAATAATGACCTGATACTGATGTTATCAGCCTGAGAAATGATTTGCAAGAGCTGAAAAGTTGCCCTACACATAGCTTCTGTTACTGCACATAAAAAACAAAAAGTTTTCTGTTTTTGTTTGTACCATCCCATAAATCTTCAAGTGTTTGTGTGATCACATGTGATTCCTCACCTGGTGACGTCGTCGTCTCCGGTCATGGCCCTGGGCAGCGGTGAGTATCTGGGCGTGGTTAACGGAGCGGGGCTTACAGACTGACTGCCACTCATGTAGGGGCTTATATGGTTGTCTTGATGTGGGGAGTACGCTGGAGGAGCAAAAACAACAGTTATACATAAAAATAATGTCAGGTTAAATGTGTACCTACGTGTACTTTCTGTATAGTTCCTACTTTGAAACACTGTTATTATACGACCGGCTCTGATCGGTAAATATAACTTAAAATTTATTGTCTAAGTAATTGATTGTCACACGATCACACAATCAGTTACAGCTCCGTCAGTCAAAGCTGTTGACAGACTGTGTATCATTAGATGCATTGCAGATATATCCAGAGACAGCAATATGATGCTGTTTGGTAATGTGTTATATTCGGGGGCGGCGATAAATAACATGTTTGATAATATGCTGATTTGGAGAAGTGACAAGTGGAAGTAATCCAGTGGACCACATTTACCCTCTCTGATGATCAGACTCTTGTATAACACATTTCAGACTGTCTGGGGAGGGGTGTGGTCACTGTAGAATCTTTTAAATATTAACATATATTTTTTTCACAGTTATTGAGAAGATTTTTTACCGAGAGTAATAAATGATATCACGACATGGTTTTCACAAAAGGCGAGATACTGATCCACACCTTTTACTGTTAGTGACATACTGAAGACTTGCATCTGTATTTTTCTGACAGTTGGGGGTGAGCTTTGTAGTGTACTCCCTCACACACAACCTTGACTGTCCTTAAACTGAGCCTAAGTGATGATATGCACCAGTGTTAAAAGTCCAATAAACAGTCATGACATATAACTTTTCAAAAATGTGAACTACATTGTTACCACCTTGGGTTGCATGTCCTGATGGTGGTCTGTGATTTCAGGCTTCCTGTGCTGTCGCAGCAATAAAAAAGTCCTAGAAAAAGAGTCTATGGGAATCTAACTGAGTCTGCCTACAGTCTAGTGGTAAATGAGAGCTTTCTTATAAACTCAGTCACTCAAAGCAAAAATCTGCACCGACAGCTTTGTTCCTTGCTGCTCTTTATCGTTCAGCACCATCTGGCTCTAAACTGTTGTTGCAATGCCGTGTGTTACATTACAATTTTGTGAAGAAAAAGTGAGTCTGGAAGATGCTGGATTGCACATACCCATGTTATCCAGTGAACTATGAGCAACATCGTACATACATATACTGCATCTGCTTGTCTCATGGTTAAGTATTGTACCGAAAGCTCTGTGCTGTGTGTGTGTGTGTGTGTGTGTGTGTGTGTGTATGTACTTACAATTTGTGACGTCAGGCGGAGGGAAGTTGTCATTGATAAAAAGGGAGGTGTGTTTGGCCACACGAAGGTACACGACGTCAGGAGTCGACTTGAGCGCAGCCACTGCCTCCTCATGAGTTACCTCCTCCAAACAGGAGGCATTCACCTGGACACACAAACACATGTACTACATTAGTATTTATAGACATGCGCCTTGACACACAGACAACATGTAGACAACACCACACCAGGCTGTAGCAGAAACATACAGTGGGGATGGTATTGTGCAGTTTTCGTGTCTCTTAGCATCTACTGTTAGACATTGATTTAATGAAGAAGAAGCTCTCATCATGTTGTTTTTACTTTTATGCTGAATGAGTCTGCCGCTGTGTTAAATCACCTTTAAGAAGCCGGGAGGCAGAGCAGAAGAGACGCAATCTGATACACGCATACCCTTTTACACTGTACTTCTATGATAATAGTATAATAGTCTTATTATAGAATATAACATAGCCAGGGGTAATGGAGATGACATGATGATTGTTTTTGCTCATATTTTGCTCACAGGCTAATAAACCTGATTGTCTATTCTTATCTGACAGTTGTTCAAGCAAACTTCTTCTGGATTATTTCAGTTTCAGTTTTTCTTGCTTGTACAAACAGACTGTGTGATAATTTGCTTGATAACATGTTTCCAAGTGCAGGGAAGAAACAGAGAGAAGAGGGACGAAAAAAGCATAAAAAGGTGCCTCTTACAGCTACAAGTTTGTCCCCTATCTGTAGCCGTCCGTCTTTGTGTGCAGCCCCTCCCTCGATGATTTTAGTCACATAGATGCTGTTGTCGCCAGGGACATGCTGGTTTCCAACTCCACCTGCTATACTGAATCCTAAACCTGACAGAGAACAACGACACATCATATTGTTAATCTTCGTCCTGAGTAACCAGAGGGTGATTTATACATTAAACATATGCAGTAGCTGTAATTGTGCCCGTGCTCCCCCTCCCCCCTTGCTTTGACATGCCACCTTCTCCACAAAAGTCACATAGTTGTACCTTGTTTATCGTTCTCACTTGAAATCTCACTGGTTTGTATTCCCTTATAGTTCCTTAAAGCTGAAGGTCAGTACTAATTCAATTTCAAATATTATGTGCTGGACTACAGAGCCAACAAAACACACAATAGCTCATTGTCTGACTATTACAGACTGCACTGTTTTGTAGTATTCACTCACCTTTTGGCCCTTTGACCAGCTTGATATCCATGATTCTCTCAGTGAGACTCCTCCTGCGTCGTATACACAGTCTGACCAGACCTCCTGCTTCTTTCAGTGCCTCCACAGCCCCGCTGTGGGTCACCTCCCTGACGTCCGTCTCATTTACCCGGACTATGCAGTCATTCACCCTGCACAACAAAGTCGCATGCAGTAAAGATGTCATTTGACTGGCATGAGGAGATAAATTGTGAAGAAATGCAAATGTTACAGTCTCTCACTCTGAAACTAGAAGTGGGAGAGACATATTTATGCGAGAGGAAGCAGAGTGGGAACACCTTCCTCACAAAGTAGTTTGACCTTTTTTTGAAATGATTTCCTTTTTGAGGTTCAAGGAAACGGTAAAAGGATATTTGACTGATGTGAGTTCTACTTCACCATTCATACAGTAACAGTAGTATTAAAAAATACCATTGACTCTGGTTGTGATCATTAAAGTGAAGAAAGACTCATTTATAGGAAATCGGCTGTGGTACCTGAAGAGCTTCTCTATAACCACTGGCACTGAAATGCCTGGATAAATTGTAGAAGACATTACACGTCATTATTCCTCACTGTAATTACACTGGCAAACTTTCAGTCATCCCTATGGTGAAGCACTAAAGACAGCACATTTACTGTTTCCATACAGCATCCTTAAAGAATGCTGATTGAGTTTGTTTGCTTTGCTACATGGTGACAACAGAACTGCTGTCTAATAATGTCACCTGGTCAATATATATATACCTGAATGTATTTGCTGTATTAAGATCATGCAGCAGTTATGGACTGCAGCTTACTGATTCAATTGGCAATTGAAGGGTTTTAAAGACACAACTATTGTTACAGGCAACAAAAATCTGTTTAATTTCAGGGGTCACGACTTGGTTTTGGTTGAGTTTAGAATTCTGATTAGGTTGAAGTAAGATGGAGTAAGGTTTGGTGTCAGGCATGTGCCTTCAGGGAAAAATGTAAGTTCAAAACAAGGCCCTCATATTTCACAAGAGAGTGTGTCTCTACCTGAGTCGTCCATTCTGAGCTGCGGCCCCTCCAGGTATAATCTTGGTGATGAAGATGGAGGGGTCTTCTCCGATGTGGGGGTTATCAGTCCCTCCTGCGATACTGAACCCGAGGCCTGAGTTACCCTAAACAGACACACAGACACACAGACACACAGTGTGGTTTAATGGGAAAAATCAACATCATCTGATTGTCAATATTGGTTTTAAAGGTTCCTCCTGTCCACAAATCAACACATTACCACATCTGACGTACATCGCCTCTTCAAATCATCAAGAAGCATCTACTGTAACAGTAAGCTCTGCAGATATCTCTTCTCAGCAAATGACACATAATAGATCACCTCTGTGAACTGAACACATTACCTGATGGCAGCCATTGCTCTGTGCATGTTTCTCGCACTTTCTCCTGCTGTGTCATTGGGTATAACACTCGTGTAATGTCTGCGCCTGTGTTTGCGTGTATGTCCATAGTGTCTTTAAAGCAGATCCAGTCAAGCAGACAGAACCAGGTCACAGGAGAATAGAGTGAGAGAGGGGGAGAGACAGAGAGAGAGCCTCAGGGTGAGAGAAACAGGAATATAATGAGGGAGGGGGGGGGGTCAGGGAAAGAAAGTAGGGAAGGATGGACGAGGAATAGTGAAGATGGAGAAATAGGGTCAGCAGAGTGGGACTGATGGTGGGAGTGTGTGAAGGAAAAGCAGAATAATGAGAGGGAGGGAGAGGAGAAAGAGAACTGAAGACGAAGACAGCTAGGACAGAGCAGATGGAGTCTTTATGATCAAATACTCTCTGGTCTTATGTGTCTATTTTACGCTTCAGATTGAAAAGATTCTGTTTGTTTTCTAGCAATAAAAGAAGAAATAAAAACAAACCAATTTATTTCTCCTCCAGTGATGAAAAATATGGAGTGTCAACTAACTAAAATAATAATTCATTAATTAACTTATGCTTACATGTTTCCTTAAAACATTACTATCATTTAACTTATTTTAGTGTCACACTGTTTGTGACTATGCAGACCCCAACTTTACCTCAAAGATGTCTGACAGCCTAAAATAGTAGTGAAATATAAAGTAAACTAAGTTCACTGATGCTGTAAGAAGTACTCAGATCACTGGCTTTGGCAAAAGTATCAAATACTGTATATCCCATTACGTACTATAACTGTCCTGTATTCAACATTAAAAAGTACCAAAGTATTAACAGCAACATGTACTGTACTAAAACTATAATAGTATTCATTATACATTTGGATGCATTAACATGTAAGCAGTGTTTCAAAGTAACAGCTGGTCAATGGGTAACTCATTTTAATGATTGTCAGTTTGGTAGTTTAATTAACTGAAACACAACCCATCCTATTTTCACATACTCCTAACTTTCAAAAATCTGAGTCTGCAGAGTAACTAGAGACTGCAGCTGCTTAGAAAATGTGGAGCAGTAATAAGTAACAATATTTCACTCTAATTGTAGTTGAGTAAAGTAACTCACTATACAATTCAAACACTCAGTAAAGCACAAGGACCTAAGAATAGTACTGCAGTACAGCACTTGAGTAAATATATTTAGTTACTTTTTTACCACTAGACTCCACTTCACGTTTTATAGCTTTACATAATTCGTATACGAATATAGATTCACTTACGACCCAAATAATTGTTTTGTTTTGAAGCGTGCAGGAGATGAGAACTACCAGCAACTTTAAAGCTGACTTTTTAACATTTTACTTTGTAAAATATGTTTTATTTTATTAGATATAGAACATACATTAAATAATATCACACTTTGCAAGCTTGTGCATTTTCTAAACACTGCAAATGCTTATTCACATACAGCATGTGAATCAAATGGCCAGTTTCAAAATGCAATGGGCTATTTCGACCAATTAGAATCCCTTTACAGGAAATATTTAGGGTCTTTTTGCACCTTTTCTCAGCTTCGTTTGCATGTTTCTGTCACAGGTTCTCCTAGTTTAAAAGAGACAGTCGTGCAAAATCAGTTGATGATGTTTTTAGCGTGATTATGGAGGAGAGTTCAGGGAGGACAGAGGTCAGTCTGAGCAGATGGAGGTTCTGTCACTGAGAGACTGATGTGACGGAGTACATTTACAGAGTGTGTAATACGCACGCACGTTGATGGTGTTCTGTCACTGTATGCGAGTTCTTACCCGCTCCAGTGTGATTTCCTCATACTCATAGTCTGCTTCTGTTCCATTCACCTGTTACAGAGAGAGAATTTTGTAAATTAAAGGAAACACTAGAGGCTGTTTTCCTGCAATGGACGCAAAAATACTCATTTGATTTTACAGTAAAACTTTTGACATTAAAATGCGGAGCTGCAACGATTAGTTGATTAGTTAAATGATGCTCTTTGACACAATAGCTGGTTTTGGCAGGTACTACGTCCTCCCATGTTGCATCAAACTTTCTTGTTTATCACAGGTTTATCCAATTTCTCACTGTCATCTTACTGTATGCACTGAACACTGTACCAGTCAATGTGATATTTCTGATAACCTACCAGCCTTCAGGAGTTTCTCTTCCAGTTCTAATACAATGTGTGAGCTGATTAACTGATCGTTAATTCACTAATCTGGTAAAACATTATACAACAAGTATCAGAATACAAAAGTGAATTCAGGCATTTGATAATTTATGAATGACGCATGAATCCCACAGATTAAACTGGTAATGCGTGCTTAATGACGATGTACCTCTGATGTCATATTTAAGATCATCCCTGATGAGTTGTTGCCCGTGAGCCAATCACACTGCTCGGCCAGGACTGTACGCACTATAAAATATATTAACGTCTACATTTTCTGACTGAATGAAAAAAAGCACACAGAATTAAATCTGATCTGAGCAGACTATTATGTATTTTGCTTGGTATATACTGGGAGATGAGTGTGTTGTTCCTTCTATAACTGCTGCAGGCAGGCATGCACGCAAACACACACACAGACACACACACACACACACACACACACACACACACACACACACACACATACACACACACACACACACACACACTCACACACACACACACACACACAAATGCAAACACATACACACAAAAACACAGTGGTCGAGTGGCATCCCAATGGCCCATGTAATCCCCTTGGCTGTAATCTGTGTCTCTGTGCAGTCAGATTAGTTTAGATTTTGAATTCCGGTCGTTTCAAACAGAGGGCACAGTCTTCCATCAGACACCACGTACTGTCCACTGATACTTACCGTACACACACATTTAAGGACATATTTACAGTGGATTGGTTCGTAGTTTAAGGCTGTCTATAATTCACTATAAACATAAAATGTCTTGGAATATTTCATTAATTAATTTAAATTATTGGTTGTACTGTAACTGTATATTTATAATAGAGTTTTAAGATTATCAAAGTTATAGCCAGAGCTTCCTATGGGCACAGTAGGCAGAAATGGCATCATGCATCTGCCATTATGTTTAACTTTTTCCTACTGAAAAAGTTGATTGACCCTTGCCTGATATTCTCTTTCAAAGAGTCATCAGCAATGAAAGTAAAAGTTTATTTCTTTGTATTTGTTACAGGCGTTAATCAAATTTCTTTGGACGCGAGTATGTCGCATCAGTCATATCATCATCAGATCGTATCAGTGAAATGTTGAGTGAAATATGTGTGAGAAAAATCTTTTACTGTGTTTTATTCCAGGCAGTTCAGCGGGGAGTAATTCCACAGTAATTACATAATAAACTTATCTAACAACAACAGACACAGAGTCTCTGTGGCAGCTGGCAAACCAGTATGACATCTGGATCCATCTAATTTAGGACTGAGCTTTTTGACTAAAACCATGATGTTACATGTTACATGTTACATTATTCTGCATATTGGGGAGAAATATTCAAATTACTGCACATTTCCAGTAGCTCCAAAAAGTGCTGCAAGTAAATTAACCCTTGATATTATATTTTATTTTTGTGACTGGAATTGTTTATAGAAAAAACGATTTGATGTAAATATTCACAAAGTTCCACAATTATTGTAGATATCACTTAAATTTCATACAGAATCTTGAGATTAGAAATATACTGATTATACTGTGAAAGAAATCCTTTATATTCAAACTTTCTCTTTGTATCCAATCCCAAAGGGAATAAAATCATGTAAACAAAAACATCATCCTGTTGATATATAATGAAAAGGACATTTCCTTATAACCACAGCAAATTAGTTCAGCCTTAAGGTGGTATGTTCAAATTAAGGTTGTACTCACTGTTGTAGCTGCATAAAAATGTCATGTCATTTAGTCTTTATCTTAAATCTGTGTGATTTAACCTCACTTGACTTAGACCAAAGTGTCACCTCCACAACTGGCCATTGAGATTTTACAGTATGAGCAGGGAGCAGGTGCAAAGTCCACAGTTGGGTAGAGGTTTAAATTTGATATTGATATATTCTATTAGAGCCAGTACTCACATATGGGGGGGTGTCGACGCTGTCTGTGTTGACCACCACTGGGGGGGGGTTGGCCTGCAAGAGAGAACAGAAGCATTACCAGTCACTTTTAATTTGAAGGATATTATCATGAAAACAAAGACGTACAGTATTTCACCAAGTGCTGCCGCTGAAGGAAGCACACAGACACACACTCTCACACACACACACACACACACACACACACACACACACACACACACACACACACACACACACACACAGGCAGAGAGCAGTGATAATGACTTACTCGTCTCATGTTTTGGTACAGCATGTTGAGAACCTCTGCTACAGATTACCACCATGGAGCGACTGCATACACCGCATGACATACTGCACAGCCCTTATACTGGACAGTACTAATGTACTACACTTTAACTGTAAAGCTCTGCTACTGTGACATACAGGACTCTTAGCAATTCAGTACTGCACCTCAAAGTACTACATCACAATACCCTGAACATTTAGATTGTACTCTTATAGCCTGCAGGATACTCTGTATGGCATTATTGACACTATATTTTACTACACTGGCCTGACTGTGCCACATTCAGTGTCTAATCTTTATAAATCCAAAATGCAATGTGCCGTCTCCTGTCTAACACAAGTGTCTCCTCCCCCCTCTTCTTTTCCCTCAGGTGCTTCTGCTCTAAGCTCAGCCTCCTTTTCCTCCCCGGCCTCCTTCTGGAGTCCAGTCCTGGACAGATCACTGCTAGAAGAGCTAGGGGTGAGAGCAGCAGCAGATTACTGACATTATTTTCCCTCTTGCTTCCTACGCAAGCACAGCAAAATGACAAACCTCACACTAGCCAATAAACAGCCACAGGGTGTCTTTTTCTCCCTTTATTTCCGAGGTAAGCATTAGCCTTCCATCTTATCATTCTACCCATTTACCTCCTGCTTCCCCCCGTGTCTCCTCTAACTTCCTCCACAGAAAATATTTAGCGCTCGCCCGTCCAACATCTGCATTTCTGGTCAACAAACCAGTAACAGATAATCTGAAGGTCCAGTTTTTGTTCTGTAGCCAAAAAAAAAGTTCACAAAGCAAACAACTACACAAACGTCAAACAAGCTAGCCGACCAAATGGACAGTCCATCCTGACCTCGCAGCATCAGCGCACAACAGAGCAGCAATAGCATCTATCCCTCTACACTAATCTCAACCTCTCTCACCCCCCTTTCCACTCTTTTATCTTCTCTCTCTCTCTCACACACACATATATTATCTCACTCCATGTCTCTCTCTCTCTCCACCACATGTCCAACTGTCTGTCAGTCAAACTGACTGGATGCCTGATCCCACACGGGAACAGAGAGAGGAGGAGGGGGGGTGAGTGGGGGATCAGAGGGATTATAGGTATGGTAGGAGGAGTCAAATCTGCCAGATCAACAACAGCAACAAGGAGCAGAGGGCGCAGACAGATGCACCCCCCCACCAAAAAAAAAAAAAAAAACACAGATGCAAGTAAAAAGAGAACAAAAATCGACAGTGTGAGAACAGACGTGGAGGAAGGCTTAGAAAGAGTGAATGAAAGAGATGAAAGGGATACGGTACAGTAAGGACATGCTGACAGTTGCAGCTGTTAGTCCATGTGTGTGTGTGTGTGTGTGTGTGTGTGTGTGTGTGTGTGTGTGTGTGTGTGTGTGTGTGTGTGTGTGTGTGTGTGTGTGTGTGCGTGTCAGTGTGTGTTTATGTGAATGAAAACACTGTTTTATAGAAGAGAGCACAAGGTTCTGATCTAAACTGTGTTTGTCATCTAAAAATTTAGATGAGCTATGTCTCCTCATATTTTGCAAAGATAACTAGTCAAGTATCCTCTCTGTTAATAGATATTTATTCAACACAAATTTAGTTTGGAGGGGAAACAACATTAGATGCACTGACTGCATTTACTGTAGGAGTCTATAGCCTCTGAAACCGGTTCCTTTCATGTAGAACATCTTCACGTATCAATATTTCTTTGGTTTGTCTAAAAAAGTGACTGAGTCATCTCAGCTGATGTCAGTGTAACCACATGTATGAATTCAATTTGTCTGCCATTACCTCACACTTACCAGTCCGTCGCCTTGCTTCAACCCTATCTGACTCCTTCATCAATGTAACAGCAGTATGAACAGCGGTTAAACGTCTGTGTGTGTGTGTCATTCACAGAGCGACAAATCCAGTTGGTCGGTCAGCTGGTGATTCCATTGACACGCCATGTCAGACTGCGTGGTTATGTAACATCGATATGTGTGTGTGTGTGTGTGTGTGTGTGTGTGTGTGAGGTTGTGTTACATGAAAAGGCCAAAAGACCAAACGTGCAAATATATAAAAACAAGCACTCACACACACAACATCCATATCCAGACAGTGTTTTGTTCCTCTGTGCAAGTGATTGTCAGTTGTTATGTAATTGCTGTTACACCAGCTGTGTTATCGTGGCATTATGGCCTGGTTCAGTCCAGCACAGCGCAGCTTAGAAAGAGATCCAAACTGATCAGACAAAGAGACAGACAAGTGCTTTAGCCACAGTTCTCATGCTGCAGTGTTCAGGATGGTTGCTTACAAATGTTGAAGTAGGTGTGTGTGTGTGTGTGTGTGTGTGTGTGTGTGTGTGTGTGCTGTGTAGTCTTTGGGAAATGATCCTCCATCAGTGCAGCGTGCTGTTTTCAGCTACTACACCATCATCATAATTAGGCTTCAATTATCAATTATCAAGAATCCCATGACGTGTAATGATGCACAGCAGCAATTAGTTAAATTATCAATTAGTGCAATGTGCCGTATTATGTGCACACTCATATATATAATAATATATGAACACAGTTAAAGCCTAAAGGAAAAATGGGAAGAGTCACAAACAAAATCAGACACAGCGATGATTGATTTCATGCAGGTAGAACATCTGGAAGCTTCATTCAAAGGTTTGTTTCTCTACCATCTGACCTCATTTGCTTCATAGTCTGCTACTTTACGTTTTATTTATAGAACAGAAGACCCATAAGAGCCATTGTAAAGTGGTGAAGACTGACGCACACACTCATACACACAAATGCTCCCCACCTAATATCGCTACGACTCCATCTTCATAAAGTGTAATGAAACTCCATCTGACTAATGAGCTAATCAGATGAAGTGTGACGCTAATCAAACCAGAATGGCCATGCTAATCACGCTAATCAGACTATCACTACCTGCTATCGCTGATCTCTGCGTCCACAGCAGATGTACAGAGAAAAAACTACCCTAACAACAGCTAACACAACAGCTGGCATGCTGCTAAATCACTACAGTACAGTTTACACAACACACACATCCTGTTACACATGGACGGCTATGCTCTTTTGATTATACCATTAGGAGGATGAAATTGACCATAACCATTCTTACACTGCTATTATCATCTTTCTGTAATGTTCAATGAACTGTGGGCTTTGTTATTCTGATGAGTTATTTTTGGTAAACCCCTCATTTAGCCACAATCTGCTTGGTCTGTTAGTTTTCTATATTTCCCAGAATTACTTTCAGCATCCCCTCGGAGAGAAAAAAGTGACAGTCACATCCCGCACACACTATGAATATGTTGACAGCTCAGGGCCCAGGTTTAGTGGAGAAAGCACTGGAGCACTTGAGGCTGTCAGTGCTTCACTTAAAAGGGCAGTTTGACGAGGATAATGGCAACATTACAGTAGTGACCTTCCACTTCTGAAATGCCTGCCCCTCCGTGGTCAGATTACAGCAGCGAGTGTGCTATGCAGACCCGCCATCACAGGGTGATTATTGTGTGTTACATTTGTTCCCTTCTCTCTTTGTCCCATCATTCTTTTAGTGTCTAATATATCTCGTCATGTATTGATTCCAGGAGTACTTTGAACGTTAATGGAACACGCAATCAATTTTGACTGCGTAACCTGTGCTGTTTCCTGATAGAGTCATTCATACTTCGTTTGAAATTTTAACTTCTATTCAGATAATATAACTGTCGAAAACAAACAAACACAAAGTTATTTAAAGAATATGAAGTCTAACTCTTGTTTTGCCCAATAATTTTTTTCAATTTTACTGGTAAATAAGATAAAGTGAGTTAAGATGTAAGAAAAATAAAAGCACTGTAAGAAAATTGTGTCTAGCTGATGATTAACAGGGTTTATTACCATCTTGAAGTGGTTGAATAACCGAGTTGCGGGATGTCTGTGTGCGGCGCTAATGGATGTAAGTGTCAGAAAACAATATCATAAATCCAAATGAAAACTGTGTGGAACTCCTTGTCCTTGAGCAGTGTGGAAGTTTCGCCACATGCACACCTTTAAGACAGACGTATGGCCGTTGGTCAAGCATCTCTTTTAATGCCTGACAAAGGTGCATGACCAAAACTGGCTTTTAAAGTATACATATTCTGAGCAAACACTGGAGGAGAGGAGAAAGTTTTAGTCCAATTGCATGTTTTTTTTTTTTTATCACAGCTTGTGCTCTGTAACAGAATAGTCTCCTTTTGTATCACAGGTGGAGGGGAAGTAATTCGCCAAATGCACATGTGCTGTCCTCTCCTAGGATCAGTGGCCTGAAGCGCACTACTACTACTACTGTATACAACCACCCATCTACTATCCAGCCATCAAACCTACCTGCACATGGGCCTGTATTTGTGGAAAGTGGTGTATGAGCGGCACATGGGGGGGAGTTTCCACTGAGTGTGCTGTCCAGATATACGTGTCATTGGGCCACGGCCTGCTCACAGCCTTGCACTTGGCTTTGCTCTTCGTGGGACTCTTCTTCACGCTGTCCCTCAGGTTGGGGAACTTCCCTCGGGTGCCCCTGGTGACCAGGGTGGTTGGCAGTGTGCTCCACCCATATCCGCCTAACCCTGAGCACAGGGGAAGCTGTGGTGAGTGAAAAGGGTGGATAGACAGCGACTGGGAGGCATGAGGAAGAGGAGGAGGGTAGTGGTGGTGATGGTGCTGATACTGCTGGAACAACGAGTGGTGAGTTGGCGAATGGAGCTGCATCTGCTGCTGTTGATGGTGGTAGAGTTGATGTGTGGACTGCGAAGAGA